CAAAAGCTAGTGACAGCTTCTTTTAAACTTCTTATGTTCTTCCATGCAGCCACATGCCACCACAGTATCGTTTCCATTTAATTTTTCCTTAAGTTCGTTTAAGTAACAAAATCATTGTTTTTCATTATTTTTATTATTAGGGTATATGGCACTGTAATGCTATAAAACAAGGATTTCTGACAAGTGTTATGGATGTTGTTTAGAGTCTTTGATTTAAGCTATTGATTTCCTTCTAGGAGTGTTGCATGGCCATTCTCCTTTCCCAAATTGTGTTCATTGAAGAACAGGCAGCTGGAATTGGGAAGAGGTAAGGTCTATATAGTACAGTCTTTATTCACAGAAAACATTTCCTGTTATGCTATTGGTCAGAAGGTCCTATCTTAGACTCAATGATGTATGAATTGATTCTTAAGCATGAATAATTTGCTGTAATATCCTTGTTTATTATACATGGGTCATAATAAAGAAATGTGGGCCTGGTGCGGTGGCTGACGCCTGTAATCCCAGCACTTTGGGAGGCTGAGGCGGGCAGATCACGAGGTCAGGAGATCGAGACCATCTGGCTAACATGGTTAAACCCTGTCTCTACTCAAAATACAAAAAATTAACCAGGTGTGGTGGCGGGCGCCTGTAGACCTAGCTACTTGGGAGGCTGAGGCAGGAGAATGGCATGAACCTGGGAGGCGGAGCTTGCAGTGAGCTGAGATCGGGCCACTGCACTCCAGTCTGGGGGACAGAGCGAGACCTCGTTTCAAAAATAATAATAAAAAATAAATAAATAAATAAAAATAAAAAAAAGAAATGTGGCCCAGTTATCATTATCTTTCCATAGACACTTTGCTTTCACATGCCTGTGTACCTGTCATTTCATACTTAAAATCGGAAATAACCTATTTGAGAAAAATAACTGACTTTGCTTCTGTTTCTAACCTGATCATTAAGTTTGTTTCTCAGGTTTTACTTGTTCAGATAGCAGAGTTAAACAGCATATAATAATAGTTACTGTACAAAGCAGGACATTTATCAGAATAATAGCAGGTACAATGAACAATTAGACCAGGGTAACAAGGATACAATGGGACCATCCCAGGCAAACCAGGAGATGAGGCCACCTTGGTATAAAGGTGTAAGTTCAAATGTTCCTGTTTATTCAAATATACCGAAAACTTGGCTTTATATTTTAAGTGCATGTCATTGAGGAGACATGAACAAATATTATTGGCATGGGATTTTTTTTTCCTATGTAGGCTTATCTTTAGGTTTAGCATAATTAGGCATTTCAGTAGAAGTTAAACAATGTTGAGCTTCACTGGACATGCAATGCATGCTTTGATCATAATGTTATGATTTACTGTAAAATATTATTTATTTGACATAAAAGAAACCAATGTTTTAAAAAATTAATAAGCCATAGATTTTTTTAAGCCATAGATTTTTAGGGTAGATTGTTATTATGATTTATATTTTCCCCTTATCAATTTTCTCCACTGTATTAAGTTCTAAAAAGTAAACTTTAAGGTTGTTTCCAGGTTATTTGAATTTTCCTTTCCTGTGTTCCAAGGAAATCTAAACTAAAAAAAAATTTTAAATATTTACCTTCACGTTAATGTCTTATTTTTTAAACATGTCCAGTGAGGAGGACTTCAGTAATATGCCAAGTTAACTTTTGTCAAGTATTCTCTTTAGTTCCCAGCCCCTCCCCTCAAACAGTTATATTTGCATTGATTTCAAGATGTGTACATTTCACCTTTTAACATCTCTGAAGATGCTTTTTTTATTTCATAGATTTAAAATTTAATGAAGTATAGTAATTGGATGACTTGATAAAAGAATATATACAAAATTTGGCATAGATTTTTTATGCTTACTTTGGAGCTTTTAAACTTTATTTGATTATACTTACTACTTTTTCAATGGGTGTCCTTTCACAGAATCTGATAGTAGGGCTGAGGGTTTTTTTTAGTTTCAAAGACTATGAAATGCTTTTGCTTGGTTATCTTATGATAATTGTCATAGTTTTGTTGCTCTACTTGATGATTTGTTTCAGACAGTTCTATGATTCTGCTCACATAGTTTATTTTCTCACTTCACTTAAAGAAGTTTACCACAAGGGAATAGGAGGAGTCCTTACAAGACTGGCCCTACCCATTCACACTGAGGAGGCCCAATGCCTGGTGTTTCAATTTTACAGTAATATTTAGGTAACCATATGGTTCCAAAAAAAGAAAAGTAAAATTGAGTGTGTATCTATAGCATGATCAACACAGAAAAAGCACTAAACTAGGTACCTGGGATACTTTGAGTTTTTTAGTTTCCCAGATCTTTATAGGATTGCTTATTGACTAGGTTGAAAAAAAAAGGAGGAAAACACACTTATTAAGCTGACCAAATATAGTGGTATTTTTAATAGCATAGAAGATAATGATAGTCATAAAGATAATGGTAGTTTGTGTTCTTAGAGCCACAGCATTTTCGGAATTGTTTTTGCTATTGGCTATCTTTCCAGATCATGCTGTTGATTGAGTGGCATTTTCCAACAAATGACACTGTAGAATGTTAGTTTTGGATGGAATTTTAATAAAATATCAGCTGGCCATTTTTACAGATAAGTTTTCACTTTTTGTTTTCAAATGAATAAGGGTGTATGCTTTGGCAGAAATCATAGGCCCCCTTATAACCTCTGGGGATGTTTGTAGTTGGAAAACCATAATCATAAACTCAAACTTTCGCAAATTTATTTTGACCTTATTTTCTAAAGTCACACTCTAATTTAATCTACAGAGCTAGTAACTTGAAGCTTTTTGGTTCATAGCTTATAAGTTTTAAGTAGAGAGATTTTTGAAAGCTTTATTAATATTGAATTAATACACACTATAAAAGGATGCTTTTTGGGATGTTTGTTTCTACATGAATTTTAAAAGTGATTTGAAACACATAAAAAGTTATAAAAGTAGAATTAGTTATATATATTTTTTGAAAAGCAGTTCAATATATTACATTTGTTCTTTCTTCAGTGCCAAAATAGTGGTTCATCTTCACCCAGCTCCTCCTAACAAAGAACCTGGCCCATTCCAGAGTAGTAAGAACTCCTACATCAAACTCTCCTTCAAAGAACATGGTCAGATTGAGGTAAGTTTCTACATGAATAAAATTGTACTAGAAAGGTGTGTGTATGTGTGGTATGTATGTGTGTGTGTGCTGTGGCTTGTTAATATGATGGAAGGTAGTATTATACAACATACCAGATTTCACCATAGTTTTACAATAAAATTTTATTATATCCTAAGCCTTAGCAGTGAGCGGAGAGTATGAAGTTTAGGTTTCAGTGGGAATGGGAAGCAGAGGGTGTGGTCCCAAGGAAGGAACAGAGGCTGGAAAATACACTAAGTCATGCCATTTGCCTACTAGCAGAGTTTTCAGTGGTATAGTTTAGTTAAATGAACAGAATATAAATGGAATGATAAGTTGAACTATCTCAGTATCTGAAGGTTCCCCAGCTTTAAATCAGGCTGTCTGTCTTGATTAACTCCAGTTAATCTTAATCACTTAAGTACTTATTCTGCAGTATAATAGTTTATATGTTCCAAATAAGTTGCTATACAATAATTCTTAAGATAATTAGAAGTATGTATTCTCCTCATCAATATCATAAATTATTATTAATTTTTTCTATAGCACCTCACCCAGTGCTCCTGACAAGTGATCACTAAGCATATGAAAAACATATTTGATTATTTGTGAGCATAGGTATGTTTTGGTCCTACTTTTTGGTTTTATATTTTAACTAGACAAATTATGCTCTGCTTCCTTCATGGAGAATGGTTGTATATTTTTCCTGGCACTGTGTTTGTTTCATTATAGATTGAAAACAATCCACATATGCAGGATTGTTTAAAGTAAGTCTATTGATTTCATTGTCACTCATCTCTTTGTTGAGAATAGCCTACTTTATATAGAAGGTCAGTTCCTTCTTTTTTTTCCTTTGTGCTTTCTGAAGCTGATCCAAGAAAAGAATTTCCTTTGATTTTCTTTGATGTCTCTGAGAATTCTGGGCTTGCTGCAAATGACTGAACAACAGACTTTTATACGAAAGAAATGTTAAGTGGCCAGGCGCAGTGGCTCACGCCTATAATCCCAGCACTTTGGGAGGCCCAGGCGGGCAGATCACCTGAGGTCGAGAGTTCAAGACCAGCCTGACCAATATGGAGAAACCCCATCTCTACTAAAAATACAAAATTAGCTAGGTGTGGTGGCACATGCCAGCTACTTGGGAGGCTGAGGCAGGAGAATCGCTTGAGTTAGGGAGGCGGAAGTTGTGGTGAGCCTGGATCACGCCATTGCACTCCAGCCTGGGCAACAAGAGCGAAACTCCACCTCAAAAAAAAAGAAGGAAATGTTAAGTAATGATTTATACAAGGATGCTACAATCTGACTGACTCATTTAAAGTACATTTATTTGCATAACAGTTTTACAGGCGTTTATCAGAGGAAATGACACAGAGAAGATGGGAGAATATGCCAGTTTCCCAGTCATTACAAACAAATAGAGGACCCCAGGTATTTTTAAAACTATTTGCTAATCCAGTATTTTCAACTCTGTACTTACATCTTCATTAAGAAAAAGACTCCATGATTGTAGAACTTGCCCAAAACAAAATACTGCAATAGCATTCTGATAAAGAATTTATTTTCGACCGGGCACGGTGGCTCACGCCTGTAATCCCACCACTTTGGGAGGCCAAAGCGGGGCAGATCATGAGGTCAGGAGTTCGAGATCTGCCTGGCCAACATTGTGAAACCCTGTCTCTACTAAAAATACAAAAATTAGCCAGGCGTGGTGGTACACGCCTGTAATCCCAGCTGCTCAGAAGGCTGAGGCAGGAGAGTCACTTGAACCTGGGAGGCAGAGGTTGCTGTGAGCTAAGATTGTGCCATTGCTCTCCAGCCTGGGCGACAGGGGCGAGACTTCATCTGAAAAAAAAAACAAAAATTATTTTCACAGCACCTAATTTAGTGCTGTCTATACAGCAGACACTTAGTAAGCATAAATAACTGCTTACCAGCATAATTCTTAGGGTGATAGAAGGTAGAGTTCACCCACTGAATTCTGTGCTTCATAGTCAGTGTGGCATTTGAGAGAACAGACAGTACAGCTGGGTGATGTTTTCCAGGCCTGTTTAAATTAATCACCAACACTAGACAGGTACTCAAATGTATGAAAGTAGCTTGGATAATAAGTGTTAATTAAGAACCAAAATTTAAACTGTGATTTTTTTGTACATTTGAGACTCTATTAAGTATCTGATACATAATAGCTTGCCAAAGAAGGAAAATGATAGGAAATTTAACTTATATCTAAAATGCAGAGTAAAATATGCCATGTATTGTATATTTGGTTTTTCTTGAATGATTTTAAGATCATTATGTACAGCAAGAAACAAACACATGTTTTGAAGGGAAGCTAAACGTCAGTGTATGCTATTTTTCTTTGGTTCTTTGTGGGTCCTTTCCCGCCATTGAAAACACAATGTGGTTGGTTACAAAAGATTTTGTTTGCTTCCTATTTTGTATGTTTTATTTTCTACTTCTTTTTTTTTCAGCCAGGAAGAATAAGGGCTGTAGGAATTGTAGGTATTGAAAGGAAACTGGAAGAAAAAAGAAAAGAAACGGACAAAAACATTTCTGAGGTAACTGTTAAATTCTGGCTCTGCATCTATTCCAGCCATTTGTGTCTATTCTTTTAGATACAGCCGTGACTAATTCCCTTCTGTAATTTAGAATATATTTCATTTGCCTGAAGCTACATAGTCTCCTATTCTCTTTAACAGGTCTACCTCGGACTGGCAAAATCTAACCAAAACCTCTTTCTGAAAGGAATAAAAAAGAAATGCAAATTTGCTTGCTGTTAGAAAATATCATAGAATGTTGTGTGTGGATTTTAAAGTCTAGATGGAATTGATTGAAGGATACTCCTAATGAGTTCAGGGTTCTCTATATAATGATTTTGGAAGTTGAAGTAACTTAGTT